ACCATGTTCCCCAACCCAGACGCTGCCCCCAACACCGCCACCACCATGTTTGAACAAAGAGAAATTCTCCTTTCTCTTTTCTCCATAAGTAAGAGCACACTAGAACATTCTCTGTCATTGCTCCATTGGTAGGCATTTCTCTGTTTCTCCGCAAGTTGCATTGCAGTTGCTTTTCTGAGTTGCTGGATGATGAACACCGAAGTTGGTGCTTAGCTGCTTGTAAAACTTTGTTTGAAGGACCTTGGTCTGAGAATAAGAAGCACATATACACATTACCCTCAACACCCTCCATTATCAAGAAAAGGACAGCACCATCATGATTGGTAATCGTGTAGACTAGTTTTTCTTGTGGCACCTTACTATTTTAATAAAGCATTGTCAGCTTTTTTCCCATATTCCACTGGGGTGAGAACCCAGCTGAGTTATCACACTAGTGAATCCTGTCCATTCGGTAGATTACCCATTTTCCAGCTCAATACTGACCTTTTTTGATAACTGGCTTTCAAATGTAGACAATCTCCAGGAAGAGTTCATTGTATTCTTTTTTAGAGGGAGATGATGGATTTAAAAAGAGCCTTTTTAAAGATCCATGAAAACTACATCTGTAATGAATTTCCTACATGTGCCTTTGGAACATATTCTGGGTATGTAGAGATAAAATCTGTATTTTAGAACCAAATACCAGGAGACAAATCATGATAGATGAGTGGCATCTAGAAACTTGCCAGGTAACTTTCTCTGGGGGGAATGTTGAAGAATCAGCATACTGTTCTATTTTGAAAAGAGGAATTGAGAAAGCAATCCGTATTCTCAAATATTTAACAAACCTGCTCTGGGTTACTATTTTTAAAATGATTATCAGGCTTTCTAAACACTTAACAGGAAAAACAACTTAGCTAGTTAAAACTAAGATGAGCAACGTACTGACCAACTTAAAATACAGGACAGGTACAACCAAGTATTCGAAATGCCATTTTCTATTACTTGGAAAATAGAGTAGAAATTCTCTTTTCCCAGAACGTGTGAGTTTGTTCTTAAGCCTTAATACAATCAGAGGAGATTACAATGCAGCTGTGCCCAATCCCAAAAAGGGGGAAGATGAGCACTGAGTTTGGCTTGTTGGTCATAAACCATGTTCCCGCTGGTGATGTACCTCTGACAAGGGGCTGGTCAAGAGACACTATAGTGTGGGTGACGCTGCAGCACTTCCCCAGAGCAGCCAGGAGAGAAGAATTATGAATGTATTTTACATTAAAAAGAGAAGCTAAGCCAGTTTTTCGGCTAGGTGATAAACTGGAGTCCATAAATACAGCCATGCTAATTTGAAGTTCCATAATGGTTTGTGCCATGAGAATGTGTACATTTAAAAGGATTTTTAAAAGCAATTACCAGAAACGCCTCTCTTGAGAGCAGTATTTGTGATGGCGTTGCCAGTCCACGGGGGTGGCATAAACTCAGCCCTCTTGCTCCGGGTTGACAGCCGGGGGTGGGGGGGTGGGGGGTGGAAAATGATGGTGAGGGGCATACCATTTGGTGAAGGAGAAGGTGGAGGATTGGAGAGTTACTAACTGGAAATACCTTAACGAGACGCAGGACAATTTCTGGAAATAGGAAAAAATAATTTTTAAAAAAATCTGAAGCTTCCAGATTTTCAAGTATGACTAATCCTTTTCTAATCTCTTGAAACTTCTTTCCACCTGCTGCCTTAATATCCAGGTGCTTTCTCAAAAGATCCTCCAAAACTATTTACCTAGAGCCTATGCCTGGAAGAAATTACTTTGTGTCAGTTTGTCACAGAGGAAAAAAAGATACCAGGCATTAATGAGTTCACTGAGTAGCCCTGAACATCAGTTACAATTTCCTCTTCTCATCACCTGGGGCTGTGCCTTCAAAGCAGGTAACCAACTGCATGATTTGAACAGGCTTGATAAGGCTAGGTAGGTAAGTGGGCCGGGTTTTATCGTACAGAGCAACCCTGTTTATGGAATGGACTCCTTCAGTGAAAATTGGTTACATGTAGTTTGAATAACTGTAACTGTAGACACCGACTTTAAGATCCAGTTCTTCACACCTGCCTGAGGGTGGACCTTACGTGGACACCGCTTTTGAACAGACAATTGTCACAGCACTCTGGCTCAGAGTCAAAAGAGCATTTTAATTTCTCATCAAGCTGCCAAATTCTACTCATTACCCTCATCAGCATCTCTCACTGATTGCTAAATGGCAAATGAGCTACATAGTTTGGTTTAAACCATGTCCCCTCTAAATTTTCAAAGTCTCAAGTAGTTTGGCCTGCAAGGGGAGAAGAGGACTACTCTCCACGGACGCAGCTCAAATGAGCAAACTTGAACTTCAGAGTTTGGACCTTCCCCTTCTGTAGAATTGTGGATAGATTTCTAGACCGGGCTGCTTGGTATTTATTGATTTGTTGGTCCTACTGTTAAATACACCCATCAGCCTTCCTGTCTCAGGCCCTAGGAGTAGACATAAAGCTAGTGGAAGGAGCCACTCCAGAAATGGAAATTGGCAACCCTAATTTGGGTTGTTCCCCAAGTCTGTGTGTTGCTCGTGTGAAGTTGCTGGTCACCCACATCTTTGGGCTACGTGAGTGAATGCAGCAGGTTGTCCCCCAGCAACCTGTGGCTGACCCAGAGCTGTCCTTTCCTCGACCTAGGAACATGGGTTGTCATGAAGTTCACTGCCATTATCCCATTTTCTGAATCCTGTCTCTGACATCCAGTGTAGACTCTTCTAGATGGCTATATTCTTTGAAATGTGCCCTGTCCTGTTGGCAGGACAGATGTCTCCTGGAACCCTGGTCTGTTTTCTCATCCATTCAGTCTACTAAATTAGAAGCGTCCCCTGGGGGACCTCACAAATAGCTTTTGGCCTTTGGAGGGTAGAAATGCTTATGCTTGACGGGGGCCACCCGCATTTTCTCCCTCCCACTGGGGCAGGTGGTTTATTATCTGCTGCTGGATGCTGTCCAGGGCCTGATTGGTACTGTTCCCCCACCCTCCTCCCCACCCCCCACTCCTCCCACAAGCCAGCCTTCTAACTGCTTTTTATTCTTGGCTCCAACTCTCACTGATGAAGTGAGTGCTTTTTCTGTTCGCATCACTGCAAAACCGAGGCCCCGCATGCTCTCACTTAGAACTGCCTCACCTGACCTCATGCACAGTGTGAGAGCTGAAGGTAAGCCCCACATTTTGCCAGATCATGGTGGACAAATAAAAAAGCAACTCTGATACAGTGACTCACAAATGCATGAAATGTTTGGATCTCTAGACTGCCAGAATTTCTCTTTTCTATTTCCTATTTGTCGTGATGACACTTTTCCTTTTTGTGACTTTTTTTTTTTAAAAGAAGAGAATAGTGTAGTACCTTGAAACATTTGCGAACGGTTCTAATTGTTGTCACTTTCTATTTGACAAGTTCCAATTCTTTCGAAATCATTGTATTCGGTTGTGCACTAGTGTCAATAAAATTGACATTTGTGAAGCAATTTCTGGCCTTTTTCTCCGGGTTTTGCTGGGTCTGGTGGTGTGTGGGGTGCACGGGTCTTTGTCTAACAGTGATGCGTATTAAAAAATGCCAGGATTTCCATGGAGGGATTTTTAAAACGCAAACTTCTTTAATCTTACTCATGTTATCAAATCTCGTTCTTGGGGGATCGTCGTACTGACCCATAGTCCTGTAGCAGGACATCTGCTTTTTTGCTGCTCTTCTGGGTGTGCTGGCTTTTCCTGCATGTGTTGTGAACAGCGCTAGCTGGTCCAGCTGGGGCGGGACGGGGGCTGGTGGTTTTTCATGGTTGGTTCATTCCTACTGTGATCAAGTTCACTACCCTCCATTCTAGGCCATCCCCATCTTGTAATTTCAAAGCGGATATGGATGAATCCAGAGGGAGAGGATAGCTGTCAAGAAAATGGGGTATGCCCAGAAAACGGCACTTCACCTTTCTCTCCAAGATCCTTGTCCGTGTGCGGAATAGCCATGAGCTGAAACCGCATTTTGGAAAATGAGAAAGCATTTTACGTCGTCTTTTCTTAATAATGGTAACAGATGGGACTGCAGGCTACTTGAACTTTGTTTACCCTCGCGCTAGCCCTAGCAAACCTGTGTTAGAATTACAGACGTGTTAGGTGAAAACACGCAGGTAGAAGTATATTCTGGAACGTCCCGGTTGGCTTCAACGGGGTGACGTTTCGAGACTCGCAAAGTTCTGTTGGCAAAACGTTGCACGTACACATCCTCTCCTTTGGCTGACGTATAATGGGTAATGATACATTTTCATATTATTTAATGTATCCTTTGCAGAGGAATCATTAATGACCTGTCACTTTTTGACTCATCAAGGGGAATTGTGATAATGTAATGACCTCCAGCTTTGCATGTGGTGCTAGTGTTTCTGTCCCAAACAGTGAGAGAGACACGGAATGCCATCACCAGGTATAATAAGCTTGCTTCTGTTCTTGGTAGAATGGGGAGTTAGCTTCTCGTCCTTTCCTTCGCTGTGGCCCGTTGTTACAGGGTGTAGTCTGTCCTGGGTACGTCAGTCATTTAGTTTCCTTTTAGAATAGCTCTGTTTTTTCAGTCTTTTCTCATGTCTCCTGGTGGTATAGTCACTGTTTTCTGGAATAATTCATAGAAGCTAAGGCAGTAGTAAGGAGATGAAGATCCCATTTGGGGATCCACTGTGCTTCTAAACATTCCCTGAGCAGAGTTCTCTGCCTTATTAATCACAGAACTCTGGCTCCACTGACTCATTCCCACTATGGTATCTTTAGTATGAAGGCAGCTGCAATTCAGAGAAAAACTAGAAAATCGTGAAGCACATTCGATACGCAGAATGGTAGTCAAGGTTCCAAAGATTTGATCTGATACGGGGGAAAATTCTAAGTAGCAATCCGGTCCCAGAAGGAATTACTTTTTTTTTTCTCTCTCTAATACTTCTCATCCTCAAATAGGCTCCCTGACTGGTAGCCCTCACCTTTCAGAGCTGTCCATCAACTCCCAGGGAGGAGCTGTGCCCGCCAGCGTGATCTTGTCTCCCAACCTGAGCCCCGACACCAAGCAGGCCTCCCCCTTGGTCAGCCCGCTGCTGAACGACCAGGTGTGCCCACGCACCGACGACGAGGAGGAAGGCCGGAGAAAGGTGTGACCTGCACGTACATGCGTTACTTTTTTTTTTTTTCCCTAACTGCAGTAGTATATATATAACACCTGCCATTTTAACCGTTTCTAAGCATACTGCTCAGTGACCTTAAGGACATTCACAGGGTCATATAACCATTGTCACCGTCCATCTCCAGAACATTGTCACTTCCAAGCTGAAACTGTCCCCATTAAACAGGAAATCTCCATCCCTCCCCTTTCCCCAGCCCCCAGCAACCACCACTCTGCTTTTTGTCTCTGTGGATTTGACTGCTTAGGAACCTCATCTAGGAAGAATCCTGCGGTATTTGTCCTTTCGTGTCTCACTTCTTTCACTTAGCATCACGTCCTCAAGGTTCTTCCACGTCGTAGCGTGGGTCAGAGCTTCCCTTTTAAGGTTGAATCACACCCCCCCCCCCATCGTATGGGCAGAGCACAGTGTGTTTATGCACCTGTCTCTTGGTGGACAGTTGGGTTGCTCACTCCTTTTGGCTATGTCGAATGCTGCTGCCGGAAACATGGGCATCCAGGTGTCCGAGTCTCCGATTTCAGTGCTCTCGTGTGTATCCCCGAAGGTGGAATCGGGCGGACTCTCGTGGAAGCAAGCAAGATGGCTAGCAACAAGGATTGTCTTTTACTTACCGTTTAAAGAGAAAGCAAAACCCGTGGCTGACTCACTGTAGAGAAGTGCCTGCTCACCTAAGTGATGGACTCCAAGGAACCAGTGGTGTCACCAGCTGCTTTCACCTTGTCCCCTTAGCTCAGCCACCGTGTATTTCCACGGACATCCTAGCTTTCATTTCCCGTCCACCACCACCACCAGCCCCCAGCTCCCGGGACAAAGGCCACTGTGGTTTCTGTTTCTTTGATTTCCTGGAAGGCTGCATTGCTCTGATATTTTACTAGTTGGTTAGATTTTCGGATGCCCAGTTTTGAATGAATAGCCCTCCGCGGTGACCAACATACTCGAGTCTTGGAGGCCTTTGACTGAGGGTAAGATTTATGTGGAAGGAAACGTTCCCAGGCTCTTTCCTCATCATGAGAATCCATTCTCTTCTCCTAGTTCCTCACACAAAAAGGAGAACTAGTGAGAGGTTCTTTAGCCTTGAGCCCCGTTAACAAAAGATCGTAAATTAGCAATGTATCACTTTAATCAGGACATTCTTAGAGACTTATGCTCAAAGAGTATTATTACGTCTTGTTTCTTCTGTGGGTTTTGCAGAGATTCCCAACGGACAAGGCGTACTTCATTGCTAAGGAAGTATCCACCACCGAAAGAACATATCTGAAGGATCTTGAGGTCATCACTTCGGTATGTGTAGCATTTCCCCTAAAGCATTCAATTACATAATTTATCTCAACTCCGATGTAGCTTTCAGAGAAGAGCTGGATCTAATTAAATGTTGGGCTCTCTGACTCCAATTAAAAGGATTTGGTTCTGGGTTATAAAAATTAGACGGTAATAGTGTATTTAATTTGGAACATGCTTTATAAAAATTTTTATAATTGTGATTTTTAAGTGCAAAGGAAGGAAGTTTCTAAAGTGGAGAAAATTAAAATGAAACTTCTTACTGCCTGCTTTGTACCCAGGCAGAATAGTTCGTGTTTTGCCCGGCATCAAAGGTAGCTCCTTCTGCTTGAGGAAGACCCCAGAGGTGAATAGAAGGCTCGTTTTAGCCTTGGTCATAAATTGAGCCATGTCAGCAAATCTGCCAGAAGACTGCCTTTTATTATTTTAATCAGTCCTATTCGGTCTTGGAACAAATTCAAAGCATCGCAGATAGCTTTATGATCCCTGGATTCTGAGCAAGAACTAGCCATTGGAGGTCGGTAGGAAGCGCGGGGCTCCTGTGCCTCTGGGGCATGTGAATGGCGCCTGGCCCTGAGCAGGTGCTCGAACGGGTGCTCGGTGAACACTGTGGGACAGCCCCGCCTCACCGCAGCGGGCTGAGTAACTGTGTGAGGGCAGCGGCTTTCTCTCGCTGGTACGGCCTCCTCTGTGCTCAGCATTTTCACAAAGGAGCAGAGATCGATGTTCCTAACGGATCGAACCAGAGGGGGTGTGGTGGTCTAAATCAGTGGTGACCCAGTGAGTTGGCCAAAATGCAAGTTCTGATTAGAAGTAGCTGCCCATTTCAGAGATCTCTCCTGGCTTCAACAATCCACTGGTAACAAGTTGGGGGAAGCCCTGATGATGAGCTGGGTGCTTCTCACCCCATCGGATGGAAGAAGGATACAGCAGTAGGGCCCGGGAGCCCCTGGTGCTCCTGAATGGCCCAGATTCAGCAGGAAAGCCCTGTGTCCTCCAGGCATGCTGGGCTGCGCCAATACTTCTGACGAGTTGCCACCATTTATGTGTCCCTGTGTGTGCTCTTTTTATTCCAGTGGTTTCAGAGCACGGTGAGCAAAGAGGACGCCATGCCCGAAGCCTTGAAAAGTCTCATATTCCCGAATTTTGAACCTTTGCACAAATTTCATACAAGTTTTCTCAAGGAAACTGAACAACGACTAGCCCTGTGGTGAGCACAATGATGTTCAACAATTACACGTGTCCCCACGGCCTCCTCTCTCCCCCCCGCCTTGTGTTTTCGGGTGGTTCCTTTTACGCAGCTATCATGCCCAAAGATAAAGTCAAGAACCTGGCTTAAGAAGAGCCAATCGCAAAATGGTTTTCAGGGAAATTCTGTGGGTATTTAGAGGTCACCCTGGAATTTTGTTCCCTTTGGTTTACAGTTCTTCAGAACGCATGTTTTCTTACAAGTAAGTGAGTCTCACAAAATAAAGATGGTAGGTACGTCTGGAAAGCCGATGTGGGCTTTAAGGGTTAGAGGCACATGGAGGGACTTTCAGGGAGGTTGGTGGTAGTTCACTGATGCTTGCTTTATAATCCTTTGTGAAGTATCTGTATGTCTCCCATAGTTCTCAGATTTATATTACACGGTGTTGAAGAAGTGCTTAGAAAAACGTAGGGCCCGATATACCACGCACTTGCACCTTGAATCCCACTTCGAGGAATTGATCTTAAGGATGCATTTATAATGTGAAATGACATGACAGAGATAGCCATATTAGAATTAAAAGATCGCAAATGATCTAAATGTCCATGAATAGATTGGTTCAAAGTAATATTGTCCATTTAATACCAAATAAAACATTAATCTGGGAGGAAGAAGAAGATGGTGCAGAAAGTCAGGAAACACTTTGTGTGCTGTAGGGTACAAAATCCAATATACCCTGCCCTAAAATAGAACCTTTCAGAAAACTCTTAGGGTTTTTGTTTTTTTAAAGACCGTTCTATGTAGACACTTGGGGAGTTGACTGTCTAGTAAGCATGCATTTAAAAATCCCAGGAGAAAATAGCAAGAGGCTTCTGTGTCTTTGGCAGAGGTGAACGCTGTTGTATATTGTATCCTCACTGTAGGGAAGAATTTGCTTTAAAGTAGTCTCAGGGCATTTAGCGACTGGGGGCCTGAGGGAGCCGTGGATGATGTGGTCTCGGCCCAGGCGATCCCAGACCATGGGATTCAAGTGTCAGCTGAACAGGTTCACGGGGCTGCTCTCCTGTGTCGTGAAGGGAATGTGCTCGGGTGTCCAGCTGTGTGTGTGCTTGAGGATAATTCACATGCAGTTCTCGCCCCTCAGTAGGAGGAGGTAGGATGCTTGACCAAGATGGCCCCGGGGAGGGGAGCACAGCCAGGACTGAGCAAGAGCCTCATTGAAAGTGGGGAAAGATTGGAAACCCCACTTGAGAGTCTTACTCTAGGTTGGTGGTATGAATGTAAGAGAAATGCCACTTTTTAAAATGAGAAAAAGATTCTACAGGATCTAACTTCTTATTTTACCTCTCAAAGTTTACTTGGAAGCTTTCGGTTGCGTTCCGCCATATTATGTTGCCTCATCATTCCTGCAAAGCTCGATGATGCTTTCATAGTGGCGTCAAAGAAGTTAGAGCTCTGGAGAAATCAATTCACAGTTTGTTTTGTGGCCAGTGAGACGTGTGTTAACACAGTCTTAAGTCTTCCCATAGGCTCAGAGCTTCTTGAGCTGGTGTCCACCTAAATAATGGCAGTTGACCTCAGTAATGTTGGGGAGGTCACACATAGGAAATGTCCCCAGCAGGACCCTGGCAGCCCAGCATGGTGGCTTCAGCTAGCTCCTGCCATCACAGAGAACTCAGGAATAAATGCCATGCTCTTGGATTTATCTGTGACCATAAATTTTTAGCATCTGGCCCTTAACTGTGAAAGAATATCCAGTTGCCTAAAAAGCAGCTGCTATCGTTTATTTCCCAGAGGATTTTCAGTAGAATTTCTTTCAAAGATCTGTAATTTTATTCATGTTTTACATGCAAAAGACTCAAAGCTAGAGCGAGAACAGATAGTCGGTATGCCGCTCAAGGACATGACATTTCCTTGCAACAGTGGACCCAAACCAGATTGATGACGTTTATCAGGAATAAGTGAAAAAGTCTGCTGTTAAGGTCAGCTAATCATTTCCTCAAGTGCATGACGAGGAAGACCTGCTTGGCGGGGGTTCAAGGCAAAAAGGCTGGGTGAATGAGTGTAAGTATGAGCCAACAGAGTAACATGGAGAAGACCCGGCATCTTTCTCTAGCTCTCAACACTGGCTGCTCCTTCCAATTATCTGGAACCTTTAAAAAATCTTCATAACCAGCCAGAACCCCAGACCAGTTATATTGGAATCTCTGAGAGGTAGGACATAAGCATCAGTGGTTCCTAAAGCTTCCCAGGTGATTCCAATGTGTAGCCAAGGTTGGCGACCCTTGTCCTGACTGTCCTAAGTACGAAAGAGACCAGAGCATGACAAACGAAACCTTCAAGGCTCAGGGCTCCTTCAGAACACTGGGCCCAGCTCTGAGTTTCACATTTGAAATAGGTTAATAAGAGAATGCATTTCATTAAAAAAAAAAAAAAAAAGGTGTTGGATATATGGGCATTTGTCCTAGAAGAGAGAAGATTTTAGAATATATGTTGGCTCTCTTGCGGCTGGTCATGTGGGAAAGGGAGTGAGCGTCTTCTTCACTGTACCAGAGCACAAAATTTAAACGATACATTTCCAAAGAGGCACGTCGTGTCTAAATATAGAGAAGGCTTTCCTAACACTAACATTTAGCCGTGAGAGACTGCCTTGTGAGGTAGTATGCTCCTCCACCTTGGGGTTTCTTGAGCAGAGGTTGACTGTTTTTAGAAGGTATTTATCTATTGGGCGGAACCCCAAATCTGGCAGGGCCTCAGGGTCACCTGGGGGTGGGGGTGAGGGGCTTGAAAAAATACAGATTGCCCGTCCCCATGCAGCCCCCCTGAATCAGAACGTTGGAAGGAGTCCCAGAAACGTGTATTTCTGACGTACTTCTTGAGATGACTGTGATGAATACCTTTTCTGGAGCAACTGATAGGGAGTTCCTCTTACAACCCTAGGATTCTCTGATTCTTTGATGTGTATTTTGGTTATAACTCTTGTGAATGCATGCATGCATGCTCGCACAGATGGGTGAGTGAGTGAGCGAGCCTAGTGTCTGAGTGGGAGGCTTTGCCCACTAGGGGCTTGCAGTCTCGGCGGGTGGGGGAGGCAGGCATGGAGAAGGGGGGCAGGCCCTCCCATGGATGAGTGGTGGGCCATATCCCACGTGAGCCCCAGGGCATCACTGGCCAGTTCTGCTTCGAAGGACCTCTGGGCCGTTGATGCCTGCACAGCAGAGGTGGCCCGGGAGTGAATATGTTTAAGCAGAAGAATGGAACACAGAGAGGTTTATTAAGAAAAGGAGTTCACACTGAGTTCCTGACCGACAGGCCACAGAGATGTAGGTGTATCTGTGTATGAATGCATGTGCGTATTCAGTCTGTGATACGGGAAACCCGGGCTGGCTGGTGCAGACTGGGATGGCTGTGTCCTCCCTGGGTCCACACTCATGGCACCACCACCAGCTAACGTCTCTCTCCAGCTGCCTGGGGCCCTTGCAGAGCTTCATGCCTCATCTGTCTCATGTGCAGTGCAGTCTCTACCTCGTAGGGCTGTCACACGGACTAAATGAGACCGTATTAGTGAAGGGCTTGGTGTTCTGCACCATCCACAGAAAGGGGGGTTGGGGAGCTGATCATTTTTTATATTAACTTTACTTTGAAATAATTTTAGAAGCTTTGCGCAGTGGCAGTATCGTAGCCAATGAGGTTTATCCGAGGCGCGATTATTGCTAATTGAAATAATTTTAGATTTAGGGAAAAGTTGCCACGACAATAGAGTTTCCGCATGCCCTTTCACGCCTGCCTTTCCCTTAATGCCAGCTGCTTCTGTCTGTCTGAACTAAGAAACTCACATGGCTAAGTTACCAGCAACTAAACTCCAGACTTTGTGCGGTGACACTATTTTTTTTAAAGACTTTATTTCTTTAACAGAGAGCACGCACAAGTAGAGGGAGGGGCAGAGGGAGAGGGAGAAGCAGGCTTCTTGCCAAGCAGGGAGCCCGATGTGGGGCTCGATCCCAGGACCCTGGGATCACGACCTGAGCCGAAGGCAGACGCTTAACAACAGAGCCACCCAGGCGCCCCCTGGGTGATACTATTTTAAATGACTGTTATTAATGGAAAAAAAATCTAAAGTTTACTGTGCACCTAAAATTCCCCCCAAATTTGGTACTTCGTTGACACAGCCACCAGGCTCTTCCTTTGCAGTTCTATGTTAAGTTGTCCTATGCTTCCATCAGCAGTGGGAGGCCTTAGGGCAGAAAAATTACCAGGACATTTTCCTGCACGACGAGGCTGAACCCCTGCTCAGTAAGCACACCTGTCCGTATCCAAATGCTGCGTTCTCCTGAGGAAACACCCCCAAGAGGAGGATGGACTGTTCTATCCTGGCCAAAGCCCAGGCTACCCTGTTTCTTTGGAAACAAGGAAACAGGTTTGGTGACCTGTAAAAACATGAAGAGTGCTTTTCTTTTTGAAAGCCAGAATGTTCTACTCAGCTGTTCAAAGGCATTCAGAGAAAGCCACTTACAGCCTTTGGCTTTCAGAGCACAGTCCCAAATTCCAGCCCCGAAATGCCTGGCAGTCAGAGCACACACTGGTCAACTCGCTCCCCAGAGATGGATGAAGACCTGCTCTGCACAAACTCAGCTCACAGGGAGCTGGGGCCAGGGGGAGAGTCCTGCAGAGAGGCACTTGGGATAGGCTCTGGGCGCATGCGGTGCTCAAGAAGGATCAGCTGCATGTATTAGAAGACACTTGCAGTAGATTTCCTTGGAAGGGGTGCAGAAGTCTACCTAGAAAGTCTAGGAGGGGTGGAGAGACTGGAGGTCGAGATGTCATGGAGCAGACGAGTAGGGCTCATGGGACAAAGGTGAAGGGAACGGGGAGGCCCCCAGAGCTTTGATCCTGGCTACCCGGGAGGATGCTCATGAATTTAAGAAATGGTAAGAAGAAAGGAAGAAGCGAGTGTAATGGAAGGAAGATGAGTTTGGGGCACATCAGTTTTGAGGGGTCAGTATTGAAACCCTACAGGCAGTTGGAAACACAGGTCTCGGGCTTGGGAAAGAAATCAGGTGCAGGTGTGGATCTGGAAATTATCCACAGGAAGAATCCCATCCTGTAAGGAAGAATGGTGAGACAGAGGAGAGCCAGGAATAGAATCGTACCGAATACACCTTTTTGGCAGTGTTCCATAAACGTGTAGCTTATGGCTGAGCGAGAGCCAGCAAAGGAAAATGAAGAAGCCACCAGAGATTTGGGAAAAAATGGGTAAGCAGGGGTGGAGGGTCC